CAGGCCCCATGGACACCATTATCCCATGTGGGGACAGCTCTACAGGTACCACAGGCCCCATGGACACCACTATCCCATGTCAGGACAGCCCTACACGTAACACAGGCCCCATGGACACCATTATCCCATGGTGGGTATGGGGCTGGCCCTGGGCATGGACAGACCCAATGACAAGACAGACCCCATGGTCGTGGCCTCACTGTGGGGACTGCCCTCTGGATGCTGCACTGCTGTGGGCGGGGTGTTCTGGGGAAACATGGATGGGACAAAGGACGTGCACCCCAGGAGGGAGGACCACCAAGACCCAGCAGCCCGGTCTTAGGGGGTGCGCACAACGTAGGTAAACAGAGACTCCAGTGGGGTGAGGACATGGCACGGGGTCCACCTGGCCCTCCCTGCATGGGACTCGGGCTCCCACCCTCCCAGATGGAGGGAGTAGCATCTGCCCTGGGCGGTTAGGCTGAAGAGCAGTCCTGTAAACGCCACCACACCTCGGCTGGTTTCACAGCCTCTTCGATGTTGAAACAAACCCAAGCACATCAGAAAAAAATAGAATTTCATCTCAGTGCCAACCCCGATGGCCCTGGGGCTCCTGTCCAGGGGTGGCCACCCCTAGGGCTCACAGACAATCCACAAGGTTGATGTTTGAGACTCAGCCTCCTGGCCCTCAGCAGTCTGTCCACCCTGCAGGCTGGCGGACAGTGTGGGTAAGGTTCCATGACTCAGGCCTTGATGGCCCTACACCCAGAGGGACTCGAGTTCAGTGCCTGGGGGACCCAGATGGTGGTACTGGGCTGTAGATCGGCTCTCCCTCACCTAGGACCTGGCCTGGGATGACCCCACCACCTTCCCAGAGGTGGGCAGATGGGCACCTGAGTTCCCTGCTGAGTTAGTTAATTGTGCCAGCCTGGCCGATAATCACATGTGGGGTTAATTGAAAGGCGGAGGGATAAATGGGTGATGAGACTCGCCTTTCTAGTTCTCAGGTCTCTTGCTTTGTGATGGTCGCAACAGGGTGCAACTGCCTTAGCAGTTCCCTGCTTCAGCTTGCAAAACTGACTCCCTACAAGACATCCCCAAGGAGAAGCCACATGGACCTATCCCGATGCAGCCCTGGGTGCTGGAGCAGCCCTGTGGAGACCCCTGCTAGTGCTGAGATGCTTGTTCGTTCACTGACTCAGCTTTCCTCCTGCAGTCGGCATCATTGCCTCTGTTTTGTGAGGTGGAGGACTTTGTGGACTGGTGTTGGGTTAATGGGTTAATGTTGGACTTGTGGGCTTGGGCAGCATTGGGTTGGGATGTTTTCGTGATGCACATTTTCTTTACATACAACTCTCTCTTATACATGAGTCGCTGTGCATTTGTTTCTCCAAAGTACCTAGACTAATACACCTGCCTATTTTAGAGCCAAGAACCCCTGGCATTGGACCCTCCAGACACACTACACAGGGACACCAACTCACCCCCTTAACAACCTTCCAGACCCTCGACACAAACTCACCCCAAGAACAGAGGGGACACGGAGCCACCAGGAAGTGGGCTTCAGGCCCCACCTGACGCAGGCCTCACCCATGGAGCTCAGTGCCCCAGGGTCGGCTGTAGCCCTGCTGTCTGGCTGTCCGCCTGTAAGTGACCATTCTGGGAGGGCCTCAGGGGTGGGGAGAGCGGCTGAGGCTGGGGAAGGGCATGGCTGTGGTCCTGGGCAGAGGCCCGACTGTCCAGGTGTGGGACCTCTCCCCAGCCACAGCCCCCCATTCAGTTGCTTTTTATTTCTTCCCTTCCCCTTTTTCATTGATATATTTTTGCTTCTTTTCTATCCCCTTCCTGACCAATTCTCTTTCGAAATTCTTCATATCATGAACTCCCAGTACCCAAAGTGTTTCTCTTCTGGCTTCTGATAGCAGAGAACACATGAGGTGGGGGTTGTGCTGGCCACTGTGCTCAGATCTCCTTCACTGTCAGAGCCACATGCCTGTCTCCCCCAGACTATTATGGGGAGCACCCCTTGGGTCTTCCTATGCCAGGCACCCAGGGCATGACACTGCTAAGACAAATATCTGAAGAACGCAACAAGGATCTCTTTATTCAACCTCTCAGTATGTCTACTGCCTGTGATGCTTCCCCCAGCCACGTCCCACTTCCCAGCCCTGTGGGCTACCTGAGAACTCCTCCAACTGCAGAATAGAAGGGTGTCAAGGGGGCTGGAGGCCACATGAGCACATGGGCTCAAGTCCAGGGGCAGTATGAATGCTCAGAGAGGAAGCTCCAATCTCCCAAGGTAGAGAAGACTCAGCAAGGGTGATGGGGGAAGGATGGGGGTCAGGGGGCTCACCCAACACCCCTTGACACAGGTTAGCGGAGCTACAGGCCTGTTCAGATGGGATAGATGGATAGATGGATGGGAGGGTGAATGGTTGGATGAATGGTAGGTGAGTGGGTGGATGAATTGTTGTGTGGATGGATGGACAGGTGTGTGGGTGGATGGTTAGACGAATGGAAGGATGGATGGTTGGCTGGGAGGGAGGATGGGTAGATAAATAGGTGGGTGGATGGTTGGGAGGGTGGGTGGGTAGATGAACGGATGGATGGATGAATCAATGGATGGTTGGATGAATGGTAGGTGAGTGGGTGGATGGATAGGTGGGTGGGTGGATAGTTGGATGGATGAATGGATGGATGGATGGATGGATGGATGGATGGATGGATGGATGGATGGATGGTGGGTTGATATAGATAGCAGGGTCAACTGCGATTCACGGCGACTTTACAAACAACAGAAGAAATCCCTGTCACTCTGAAAACCTAAAACACCTACAAACACTTCTAGCAGAAGACCCCCCCTACCCAGAAACAATAAAATATTGCTGCGGCAAGGCTTAGATATTGTCAGGTGCCATAGGATCGGTTTCAACTCACAGCTATGCATGTTCCACAGAGTGAAACACCACCTGGTCCTGCACCGTCCTCAACACTGTGCTTATGTCTGAGCTCATCGTTGCAACCACTGTGTCAGTCCATATCTCTGAGGGATTTCATGCTTGTTGCTTCCCCTCTACTTGACCAAGCATGATGTCTGAGATAGTTAATGTGTATTATGCCAACCTGGCCAATAAACACATGTGGGGCTAATTGAAAGATAAATGGCTCGGTGAGTCTCGCCTTTCTAATTCTCGGTCTCTTGCTTTCTGATGGTCAGATCAGGGTGCAGTTGCCTTAGCCAGTTCCCTTCTTCAGCTGGCAAGGCTCACTTCCTGGAAGACATCCCTGAGGAGAAGCTGCATGGACTACCCTGATGCAGCCCGGGGTGCTGGAGCAGCCACGTGGAGACCCTGCCAGCGCTGAGATGCTTACACGCTCACTGATCGGCTTTCCTCCTGCAGTCAGCGTGATTGCGTGTGTTTTGTGAGCTAGAGGAGGACTTTGTGGATTGGCGTTGGACATACGGGTTAATGTTGGACTGTGGGCTTTTGGGCAGCACTGGGTTGGGATGTTTTCTTGATGTGCACTTACCCTTTACATAAAACTCTCCCTTATACATATGAGTTTCTGTGGATTTGTTTCTCTAGAGTACCCAGACTAGCACAATGTCCTTCTTCAAGGACTGGTCTCTCCTGATAACACATCCAAAGCACAAATGATGAAGCCTCCCCATCCTTGCCTCGGAGGAGTATTCTAGCTGTACTTCTTCCAAGACAGATTTGCTTGTTCTTTTGGCAGTCCATGGTATTTTAAAATATTCTTCTCCAGCACCGAGATTCAAATGCACTGATCCTTCTTCAGTCTTCCCTATTTAATGTCCGATTTTCACGTGCATGTGAGGCAGCTGAAAACACCATGGCTTGAGCCAGGCACACCTTAGTCCTCGAGGGAACGCTCTTGGCTTGTGCAGCAGATTCACCCAATGCCATCTGCTTAACTGTTACCTGATGCTTCCATGAGCAGTGACTATGCAGAGAACACCAGCGTGCCCATCTCCATTGGAGGGCCTGCTCCCAGCCGCACAGAGTCCACACAACCTCATTCAAATCTCCAGCAGGCCTGTGCCTTGACAGTGGCCAGTGGGTCTCTACGGAGCTGGTGGAGGACAACTGCATGGAGGCCCAAGAATCACTGTGATGGTTGGACCACAGTCAACTTGGCTGGGCCAAGATTCTCCCATGATGTGACCAACAGAGTGCATGGTCAACTCTGTGATGGGATCTTCTGTGAAGCAGCTGAGCAGCTCTGGGGAGAAGGTGGTGGTGGTGGTGGTGGTGGTGGTGGTGATTGGGTGCCACCGACTCATAGCGCCCTACATGCCACAGAACAAAACG